GTCAGCGAGCCGACGCACATACGGCTGTTTTCCTCCTATATCGGATAAAAGGAACAAGTGATGAAAAAATGAAGAACACAGGTTTTTACATATCACCCTCATGGTGAAGCGTGACACTGTTGAACTCCTCGAAGGGATCATTGAGTTCGCCGTTTGGAGTCGCGAGTCCCGAATCCATTGGGACACCCTTCATCTTGGTAGAATCAGTGCCGCCAATATCTACGCTAGCGCTCTCCTTGACGTTACGGAAGTTCACCGTATCCGTACCGGCACGACCCTGGTGAGGAATCATAGGCGGCTTCATGTGGCGAATGAGCGCCCATTGGGTCTGCCGGAAGAAGGGGTGAGTCTTGACATCGGAAGCACCAGCGCGGGCTCCTAGGCGCTTAGTTTCATCCTTGATCAGCAGTTTGCGGATCAGGGACTTGCACAGATTAGATGTCTGCTGCGCACCCGAGTGCTCTGGGAAGTTGACCTCGTCCCGCAAAATGCTGGCAAAGGTCGCGTTTCGGTTCTTGCCTTTGAATGGAGTAGTGCCGTAAAGCATTTCGAAAATCAAAATACCAAGGGTCCACCAATCAACGGCGCTGGTGTGACCACAACCCTTGATCACCTCAGGTGCAATATACTCCTCCGTCCCGACAAAAGAATTTGTTCGGAAATCGGCAATACATGACTTGGTATCAATGGTAGGCAGACCTGTAGCGGAGTTGCCACCACTGCGTGCAGGAATCATCGTCGGGGCACCCCCGGGTCCAGATTGCTTCGACAGATCGAAATCAGAAAGCATGATATGACCAGACTGGTGAAGCAGGATATTTTCTGGTTTCAAGTCACGGTAGATGAAACCCATGAGATGGAGATATTCCAGCGCAGCAATAACCTCTGCGGCATAAAAGCGAGCTGCATCCTCGGAGATACTCTTGCCGGGGCGGGTTTGCAGGGCTAGAGATGCACAAGTCAGCAAGCAAGAAGATGATGTCAAAGATCGGATGGAAAGGTAAACACACTCCTGAAAAACTCGCCGCCACTGCAGTACTCCATGCAGAGATACAAGTAATCTTCTGATTGGAAGGAGTGATATAGAGTCACAATGAACGGGTGGTTGCTCGTAGCCAGAATCTCTTGTTCGGCCAAAGCTCGTTTAATCTTATTCCGTTTGATCATCTCCTTCTTGCTCAAAACTAGCAGCGAGTCAGTATATGATAGCTGACGGTCACCGGTGTATAAGAAAACGTACCCTTCATGGCATACAGACGACTCGATTTCTTCTCGCGCACCAAGTAGACTTTGCCAACATCACCCTTCCCGATCAGCTTGATCTTGTCAAAGCTAGCGGGACCGACCTCCACATTTCGAACTTTGATGGAGTTCGAACTATACGTGCGGCGGAACGAAGCGTTACTACCGAAATCAGAGCTGAGTGAAGAAGGTATCGCCAGATTGGGCTCCTCGCCGCCTAGATCCGCGAGGCCCATTGATCCGCCCGACTGTTCCATCAGAGGCTCCTTGCCCAGTTCCGCTGTCTGAGGACGGTCGCCCTGACCACTTGTGAATAGGCCTTGGGCATTCGGGGCAGAAGCCACACGTCGTAACTTGCGCGCTAGTTCCTCTTTGTTTGCAGTGGTCGCCTGTTCTACTGCTGAGACCCCGGTGACTTGCAGTTCAGGGGTATCAGGAGGAGAGGAGGGCACTGACCCATCATTGCGGTGTCGCAATGCTGGCTGGCCCTGGTGGGCAAAGTATGGGTTGGCGGATGCGGTAGGCGACATCGCATCATCGAGTGGGTTGCCTTCACTAGCAACGGTTGTTGATCGATTGCGGCCTATGCCTGGCAGGAATCGAGACTGCCGGAAAGCAGACCTCTCGTTCTTGGCTGCCCCATGGCTATCCCGTTCCCGTTCGGTACTTCCAGAGGTGTTGGGATTGGGGGAGGAGTGGCTTGAACTGTTGATACGGAAAAAGTTCTTGATCCTCGTAGGCAAGTGGCTAGACTCGTTGGAGTGTTTTCGCGTAGGAAGGGACAGAGCGGGGAAATTCCCGCGCTTCTCATTATTTGTCACTGCGGACGGACTGGAGGCGAAAAGCTGCGTCATATTTGGTGGGTCGCCGAAATCGAAATCGAGACCGAGATGACATTCACCTAGGATTTGTCGAAAAGATGATCCGGAGGGTGCAAAAGCAAGGTGTGAGGTGGGTGAAAGCGCGGTAATCTTCAAGATGCCAAGTGCCGGCTGGGGATATAACCGCGGGGGCAATTATTGTTAGTAAGAAGCGGTACAACGGGGGGTTTCCACCCAAAGAACTGAAACGACAAAAGCCACGATGACTGGGCTCATGGATAAGACGACATGTCAGAACGAGTAAAGAATGAAGATCAAGAATTGAGAAACCAGTGGGAAAAGAGGGAGGCAAGGAGGAATTGGAGTGGAGAAGGACCCGTGGACGCGGAGGCCACGGCTTAGTCATCTAAAATCTGGGCAGGGCAACCTTGGAATCCACCTGGACAATGTACAACATCCATCTACGTCAGAAGTATTGAGAAGAGTTGAGAAATATCATAGAATGCTCAGAAAGGGCATTTAGAAAGAATTAATCCCAATATAATTTCACGCTGGTCAACAGGATTTCAAATATAAGTCAAGGAATTAAGGAATTAAGGAATTAAGGAATTAAGGAATTAAGGCACAGGGTGGCGATATCCCGAGTATAAATAACCCAACCATCTCTACAATGTACAGCACGTGATAACCATACACTTCATTCCTCTGGAAGAATATCAATACATAATAATATCATACAGATTCACATTTCAATCCCTTCAATATCGTTTCGCCCCTTGACTCGAACTTGGTCCATGTATCTCATCTTTTTTTTCCATGCTTTTCTCCGCTTTTCTGCTCTCATCTGAGAACACTTCGCGAACTTTGGGACACATACATAGGCCTGGGTTCGAATCCCCAATGCCCAACGCCATGGTTGCATAGATTAGTTGTGAGCATACGCATTGATTCTGCTGGTGTTCACAATAGCGGGAGCAGTATGTCTGACACTGGCATTAATCAACTGTGAAAAGTACAGTGGCGAGTAAGTGGTGTTTTGCTGACTGTCTGCCGCGTCAAAACCGAGAACAGTTGTTGCGGGTACTTCGTCTCTCAAGTCGTCAATCAATCTCGATGAATTTGTGAGCGAGCGACGGGCGCTTCGGACATTTTCACGTGCGTCATGCCTTCGACGGGCATTCAGACTCGATGAGATCATACGAGACCCAACGCTGCTGAGACCACCCACAGGTACATAGGGTCTGCGGCGGACACTCGACCTCGAGATCACTCTGCTCGGGCTATTCCGGGACAATGGGCTATACCTGCCGAATGGGCTATTCCGAGACAATAGGGGTGTGTCCGACATATCGTCGGGGTAATCCCCTCCGAAACTGCTCATTGTCATGGTGAAACTTCCACTGCGGCTAGTATATGTCAAACCCGACCCTTTGAATAAGCATGTGGGTTTGGGTGGGACTTACCTGTGATTCATGCCATCCTCTGGTTGTCCAGTTGAGGAGCGTCGTCTCCGTTCACCGGATCCTTCCACGTCTACAACAAACACATCGAAAAAGTCCGGTGGAATGAGAGGCGCCTGGAAATCCGACACCTCACTATTTCTGCGCTGCCGATCAAAGGAAAGCTCTGAGAGCATCTCCTCATTCAGTCCGGGTCCGGGGCTAGAGACTCTTATCGTCTGTTGGTCGTCATCCAAACTGCTTGAAACTGATGCCCTGCAGAGCTCATTCTGAAGATACTGAAGCCCATTCTGATCATCGCTGCGGGTCTAGAAGTTAGTATTTTCCAATTGTTGGCGTGATGCAAAGAACTTACATGCTAAACGCGAGGTCTGGTGTATGACTCCCATCATTTTCAGCCTTGTGAGTTAATTCGATGACGTGCTCCTCATGGTCTATTTCAGTAATAGAATGCAATGCCGATCTCACATTGTTGATGTTTCGGCCGAAATTCCGAGGCAGGGTGTTGCTAATACAGCTTCCGTTTCTCGGGCGACATTCTGTCCATGTCTCCTGGGGGATCCATGGTATGATTTCACTATGTTCCGTCTCAGAATCCATTTCGGGAGAAAGGTGAATGCCCAATCGGTTATTAGCGTCAAAGAGCGGATCATCGCTTCCTGCAGGCATGTTGCCGCTAGTCCCACTCGCACCATGAAACAACTCTGATCTTCTATCAACCTGAACCTGGTTGAAGAGCGAGTTGCTTCTGTTTCCGTTGCAGTTTCCATTTACATGATCACGAATCAACAACTCTGAGCTTCCATCAACCTGCATGTTATCGAATTCTGAGTCGTCCCCGTTTGTGCGGCCTGTTCCATTCCGGATGTCGTTTGTTGCTATTGATTGCTGTCTCTGGAATTGGATGCGATGGCCAGTGTTTGGGTCAGTAATATCGACTGCACGAGAGGTCTTGGTACGCTCAACCTCATTGGTACCGTCAGTCCCCAGGTTATCAGATGGACCACCATGGATCGTTCTTCCGGGTTGCTCTTGATGGGCTGGTCCGACGGTAATACATCCTGGATCAATGGGATTGTTCGCGAGAGATTCCTCTGCGAGCATCTCATAGTAATCAAAAGCATTGAGCACTCTTGCCCGTTCGTTGATGTTGTAAACGCGCAAATGATAACAAACGTCACCAGGCGGAATCTCTGGGTCTAACGCAATAAATTCATTGACCTCCTCCAAGTACATTTCATGGGCCTGGAGTTTGCTACTCAGTAGCTTCCTTGCCGCAATCATGGCACCAATGCCGAATATCCACGCCCTTCCTACATATTGAACATAATAGTCGCAACCCGGGAGGATATCAAACGGCAGAAGCAACGACATCATCTGCGCAATTGCAAAATCATCATGGTCAATAAGTGTCTCGATCAAATACCATCGTGTTCGGCGCTCCTGGGCCTCAAGGGGGGTCTCATAACGCTGTACTGCGCTTGGACTACGGCGAGCGAACTCTGGATCATCTTCGTCTTGTGGTTGATACTCAAAATGTTCAGCATATGGAATGTTTGATTCCATTGCCTGGGAAACACTCAAAACCCGCGAATCAACGGGAACTGCGAATTGGGATGTGCTTGCCGGCAAAGGCGAACGCAACCGCTCATGCAGGTTATTATCGGACTCTGTAGAAGAACGGATGATTGTCAAGTTCTCTTGTATTGCTCCGCTCCGGCCACCAGTCCTAAGTTGGTCATCGACAAAGACATGTGCGACAATGGATTCGTCGTCATTCGTTTCAGCCGTTGGCGCAGCTGATGAGCCATCAAGATGGGGTGGTCTTGGTGGCTCCATTGGAACGATTCTTCCCCCAGCTGTGACTCGCTGGTGCTTCGGGGAAGTGTGCTTTTTCAGAAATTGGGCAAACCCTGCGTCACTCGTGGAGAACACAGGCTCAAAGGACTTCTTGCTGTTACGAGTTGGGCGGGTCTTGGAGGCTTTCGATGCTGGATTTTTGTTCGGTCGCGATGACCTGACTGGCTCTCTAGTCGGCCGGTTTCTCGGGTTTTCTGAAAGAATAGGCTTCTTTTTGCTTCGATCAGGACGCGCTCGTCTGCCTAAATCGATGGTTAGAAAGGTACTTTTCGCTGTTATGCATTGTCGATGGCCCTGAGACCCATGACAGCTCTGCTTGATGTACTGGAACCCAGTTCACACCAGCAACATTGTGGTCCATTGCAGAAGATCATTGATCACATGCATCATCACAAAGGGAAGCTTACAGTGTCTTGCTTCACTGGTCCACTTGCAGTGCACGCCTGTGTCCTGGCACAATGCCAACAGTGTTGGCAGGTTATACCTCATTTTGTTCATACGGACGGAATATTTACCTGTCAAGAACAAAGAAAACATTTGAACGAGGAATTCGATGAGAAAAAAGGAATTGTAAGGTTATTCGGATGGAAGGAAGGTCAATGGAGAAGGAACGAGCCTCGAGGCTATTCAGAGATTATGGTCACGAGGCGTATAGTCGAACGACGCGTCTGCTACAATTCAGCACGCGTCTATGTTCGCTAAACAGGAAATATGCTCGAGGAAAGCAGAGAGTTAGAAGAACACGTTCGAAAAACGAAAGAAAGCTTCGGTGCAAAAATACGGCGACGACATAAGCAATCCTCGGCGACGACCTCATACAGTCTATACACTCTCTCTGACTTTTACAGGCTGAAGGCCACTGTGTACAACCCAATCCTCTTCATGCTCCGCAAAAGGCGACCTCACTTCCATGCCATCGGGCTGAATGTTCTCAATCTCTTTCTTGCCCTGCCCCATCTCCCAGCTTCCGGTGCGTTCATGGCCCTGTACAGCAACTCCAACTCCAGCGGCGAGACCACTTGATAGTTGCGTATTGTCGGTCTTGGAGTTTCTCCATATGGGTCCACTGAATGACACATCGGCATCACTGGCCAGTTTTCCGGGGCCTTTGAACCCTCCCGGGCTTCCTTTTTTTGGGGGGTTTCCCTTACGAGCGTGAACCATAAGGAACAAAATGACTCCCGTGAGTCCGACGACGGCAAGCGTTGTAACAGCGCCAATCACTCCGGCTACAGCGGGAGCCATACTTTTGTTCTTCTTTGTTTGATATACACTCTGGTCCAACACTCCATTGCAAAACACAGTTTCGGCGTTACAGCGGAGGCACCATTCTTGGGTTGAGGCCACGGCAAATGTCTCCAGCTCGGAGTGGAACTCAGTGTATGGGATTGAAGCACGACTGGGACTGTGTGCAAAGAGAGAATACGCTTCGAAGCCGGTGGTGTTGTCGGTCCCATTGTGAAGCAAGAATCTCACATACAAATTGTCGATTCCAGGGTACGATGGATACAAGTTGCTGCTGTCCTCGAAGCTGTAAAGCTCGAAAACGAACGAGCCACCTCGTACCAGGCGGGAGAAGAAGTTGGGTTGATGCTGGTTTGCGAGTCCCACCAGAGATGACAGGGCAACAACTGGCTCATCACCACCGAATAACAGAGTCATCTTCTGCCGGGTGCCACCTCCCCGAATATTCAGATCAAAGGCTTCTAGAATGCTCAATGCCAATGTCTGCCCTGCAATCGGACTGGCTACTCCGACCACAGACCCGTGGGAAGATGGTTGTTGGCTATTTGTGCTCCATACGTATTGGTCCGCTAACGAGCGGGCACGAAGGATGTCGGCACGATTCAGATTTTCCAACAAGCTGTCATTGTGCACAACTTCATAATCCAAATATTCCGAGATTGGAACGGCATTGGTGTAGGTTGCGGACGATTCATCATAAACTCCAGACAATGCCAGTTTCCACAGTTTTCTATAAAAGGCTTCTGTATCTCGCGTGATATCCTGGAATTCGTCGCTGCCACGGTATTCACCCTCGGCGGCATCATACATATTGCACATTGCGTGACCTTCAATCAAAATAGACTGAGGGTCTGCCTCGCCGACTGTAACAATCCGAGGATATTGGTATCCGTTCAATGGCGCCTGTGCAGACGATCCGTTCGCAATTTGGCTACTCGATATTTTCATTGAGCCGAGCGGTGGGTATAGACCCTGCATGAATGCTTGGGCGGAGGCGACGATGTTCTGGTCCGTTGCCGATAGCACATCCACATCGTTTGAGTCTAAAATGATTGGGGATATGTTCTGGATTACAGTATCGGCACCTCCAGATACATAACGATAACGGAAATCCGATGCTGTCGCGGCGAGTTCGTTGGCTCCATAGTCGGTCAAGGTTTGAGAGCTGGTGAGCGCAAAGGGCTCGCTGTCTCCGTAGACAGTAAATGCAAAGACTCCCCACACTTTCTCGACGGAGTCGAAATCTTGGGCTGAAACCATCACCCCCTGCAGGGTCAGGAGACTGATGAATAGGCCGTACATCAAGATGGTCTTCCAAGCATCGAAGAACAGCAAGGCTTGACTGGGTCTATTGAGTCGCTCTACAAACTACGGGGGCAACCTCTTCGTATTAAAGAAACTCGGACCTCCGTGGTCCAGACCTCGAATGGTAACTATGGTCGTGTTAGGGCTGCCAGGATATCAGGGAACCAGACTATGAGTTATCCGCTTCCGGCGGCCGGTACTACTCCAAGTAGACATACCGGCTTTCGATTCATAAATATCAAGTTGAAGGGACTGTAAGCTTTCGGTTCCTTCGGATGGCGGGGAAGAGCTGGATCTGGACGACATTAAGCATGCATAAAATTTAATTTCGGGGTCTGTCATAGAGAAACAGACCCCCCACAGTAAGAAGTGACCAAAAAGGATACTGGATGAGCCCCTAAGAGATAAAAGTACCCAGAAGTTATTGACAAGAGTCAATATCCTCACAAGTTAGACACGATATATATATTACTCAGTGAAAATCGATCTATAGGTTCGGAAAGTACCATGACCGAATCTTCCAAGGCTGGATACGTGCATAGTTCTATTTGATTCATAGGGTTACGCTCAAGGATGCACGCGGTTTATACCCAGGTGAAATAGGGTTGATGACGCGCACAAATTATCCGCAGAGGGAGAGTCCATGGACCTTTCATATACATCACTCTACATATATATGTGCAGGTGATACTCCAGTAATTAAAGACAATAGTACATATAATGAGATTCCGTCTACCAAACGATATTCTGGCAAAGTATTATAAGTCGTGTACATGTTGACATCACCAGTGAACAGAGATACCTGATACGCTAGTCTTAAAACGGCACTAGCTTCCTGCCCCAGGTGAGGTGCCCGTCGACCTACAATATATGTACGGAGTGTAAGGAGTACACGTAGGCACTATAGGTTCTTCTGAATGTAAGAAAGAGAGAGAAATGTGATGATATCTACATACGTACGTAGTACTTTCTCCTATACAAGCCAATCCAAGAAGATTAGCCCTGGAGAGTTGACAGACCGAAATCTGGCCCACCCTCAGTGGCCGTTGGTCCGGCTTCTGATATTCGGTCAGAACCGAGCTGATAACGCTGTCAAGATTGTAGAGATGCAAATGATTTTGCTAGAGAGGATATCAGTTCTCTATATATTCGATGGAACAATTGATGGGTCGGTAATGGTATGAATCTCACAAAGCTACGAATCTCTATGGATGTTCTCGCGGAGGCGGGCTACATTCCTGACACACACCGGCAGAACACCCCCCGAAGAGTCGCAGGTTATCGGAGATCTGATAATTGATAAGAAATAAGATTATTTCCCAGATTCAACAGTCGGTCTAGGTAGATCAAGAGACGGGTTCGGGGTCAGACTTATAAGTTGTATAACAAGATAACAAGTAGCTATTTTCCATGACTCAATGGAGGTTCCTATACCTGACCCTGGTGCGAGAGACCTGAGATGTGAATACGAGGGATGTACCATACGTATGGGCAACATACGAAAAGGATACTTGTCTATTGACGACATAAGCCCACGCACGTAAATAAATTAGGTCACGGATCGTCCACCAAAAATTTCTTCTCTCTTCTCCATCTGCCTCGCTTTCCACCAATATCCACGCACACCCTCCCTGATTCCCACGCTTCCACTCATCCACCCCGAAATTCCACCGCCCGGCAGAAAAATCATCCTTTCGCTCCTCCATCCTTCTTCCGCAAGCCCTACAAATGCGCCCTACCCCTAAGCCCTCATTTCTGCTCTCGGAAGTTGATACCCCGACCCCAGACAGGCGCTTCGTCCAAATGGTCGAGACTCGAGGCACGCGGCCATCATTCGATGGTCAGGAAACTTCTGACTTTCCTCCCTTCCCTTCTGATGGAGGTGACATTGGTACGTGTTCCCTTCAAATGCCTCATCCGATTGTCCCGTCCACCAGCCTCGACCACCACGCCTACCTATTATCCTCACCGCCAATGGACCTCAAGGTGACCTTGGAATCAATACTCACCATTTAAATTTGTATCATAGACCAAAAAGCGTCTCATTCTTTCGACGATGAGGAACATAGCTCGCCTCCGGCTGCCAAAAAGCGCCGTACCGGCGATGGCCCCGACGGTGATATCTCTCTTCCCGACGAAGTCATCTTGATGGCCGATCAGCATGGCCCTGGTCACAAAATCGAAGAAGAATTGGCCTCGGCTCTCGGCGAAGGTGTTGTTGACACCGTTGAGCAAACCGACCATAATGTCAACCATAATCTTCAGCATGGCACTCATGACACCAATGATGCCGCTCCCGGAGTTGCGACCACCCAGGACGGTACTTCTGACCTCAATCCCGACGTGGCCACTATCATTTCTGAGATTATGGATCACACAGAGCGCCAGGAGCAAACCGTCGCAATGGGACCTCAAGAACTACCACCGTCGAACGATTTCCCAGGAGCCAGGGGTTTTGCTTTCCTCAAGGCCAACTCTCACCTCAAGATTCAGAGTCTCCCTATCCTGGATAATCTCGTGAGTTGTATTGATAATATTTGCGTGATCTCTTCTCCTAACATTTGCAATTACTTTCTAGTCTACGCAAATCCTGTCGTTCCTTTCCAAGAACACCTACCAAGACCTCACTGCTATGGTGTCCGAACCAGACTCCGAAAATGGCCAAGCATATGCCACCATGCGCTCCTTGTTCGATCACACGAAGAGAGTTTACACCGTCAAGCACTCATTCCTTCAGCCTACGGACCTTGAAATCACAGACCCTTCTCAAATTGATGTCATTCGCAAAGCCAACCTAGCGTCCTTTGTCTCGAGTATCTTCGGATCTCAGGAAATTGGGTTTGCGGACCTCAACGATCATTTCCTAGACGTTTTTGTCCCGGAAGGTGGTCGTTTACTGAAGGTTCAAGGCGCTTTGTACCTCGAACTTAAGACACAGGCTTTCATCGCAGCCATGCATAACAAATCCCTCACCCGCACGCAGCTCCTCTACAATCTGTTCCCGGACGACATGGAACAGCGGTTGCTGGCGCGACGCCCTGGTACCCGACAGCTGGCACCGTCTGAGACAGATTTCGTGAACCGCCTCACCTCGCGCCGTGACATCCTTCTCAATGAGATCAACAACGAGGAAGCGCTGAATGCGCTGCCGGATAAGTACCACTGGGAAGATTTCCTCCGAGATCTCAGCTCCTACATTTCGAAGAACTTTGACGTCATCAATACCCAACCGGTTCGTTTTGTTGCCCTTATGTTTTCTCAAATGTTGTGCTTGTGCTAATATCATCTAGGGAAAGAAAGCTGTCAAAGGACGTCAGCCGTCCAGTTCAAATGGCGATTCTCACGAGTCACCCAACACCACCCACCAAGGTCAATTCTCACTTAACCAACAAGTTGAAGTCCCGGTGGACCGAAACATGCATGGCGACCTTGTCGCACGTGCTGCCCGAGCTGCGCAGATTGCCCTACAGGGCCATGGCCTCCGACGCTCTCAGCAGCAGTCGCAACAACAGCATCAACAACAGCCCCAACAGACCCAGTCTCAGGCTAGTCCGTCGCCTCTACCGCAGCAACCCCAGCATCAACAGCAGCAGCAGCAGCAGCAGCAGCCACAGCCGCAGCAGCAGACGAGTCAACCCGAGAACCAGTATCTTCATGGCTACACTGCTGCACAACAACCGCAGCCGGTTCACCAACAATATCATAGTCCCACCCCCCCTGGAGGTTATCAAACACAGCATGCCTCTCCCCTGACTTTCCAGCAGAGCCCGTTGCAGGCCACCTTCCAGCAATACAACCCCAATGCAGCACAAGCTATGCAAGCCAGGGCGAATGGCATGTCCTCCAACCATGGATACATGCCGGGGATTCCCCATTACTCTCAGTCCCAGCCCACGCAGGTCCTCTACGAACGTGCCCGGATGGCCGCATCCGCCAAGTCTTCTCCGACTAGCCGCAAATCTGGTCTTCCCAGCCAACGTCGACCTTGGACTACCGAAGAAGAGAATGCGTTGATGGCCGGCCTGGACCGCGTTAAGGGTCCACACTGGAGTCAGATTCTTGCTATGTTTGGACCTGGTGGAACGATCAGCGAAGCACTCAAAGATCGCAACCAGGTTCAGCTGAAAGACAAGGCCCGCAACTTGAAGCTCTTCTTCTTGAAGAGTGGAATTGAGGTACCATACTACCTGAAGTTTGTCACTGGCGAATTGAAAACCCGTGCTCCCGCCCAGGCAGCCAAGCGGGAAGCTCGCGAAAGACAGAAGAAGCAGGGCGAAGAGGACAAGGCTCATGTAGAAGGAATCAAGGGTATGATGGCACTTGCTGGAGCCCATGGGGCACCCGTGTCGGGCCATGATATGTCCGCCTCGCCTAGCCTTCCACCGGATGCCAACAGCCAATCCGTGTTTGATCAAACTGCGGAACAGAACCTTATGCAGACTCTGAGCCAGGAGGTACACGGAAGTCAGTATCCTCAGCAGCATGCTCAGCCAACTCCTGACCATATCGATCCTCATATGCAGTTGGGACAGTAAGGGATTGTCACCCAACCATTTATCTTGTTGATTTAGCTTCTCATCCGCAAGATTAGTCGTGAGAACTTGGGATTTCCAATTTCGTTTCGGAGTCTAGGACTGGATTGATATTTGTTCCTTCGGGAACCACATTTGTCTTACTATGGGATTGCGACATTGCGCCGGATTGGGCGATTGCTTTTATTGCATTCCAAGTGTATGAGTACATAGTCGATGGAGTCGAAATGAATGATAATGAAGAAAATAAACATCTCTGTATAGACGTAGATAGATTCAAAATACAAGTACTGTATACGTTGTACTATATGTATGCCCTGAAGTAGCATGGTAGTCGAAAGTAAAAAAAAGGGAGGCCCCGAGGTCCACCAAGATGGCCCGTGCACTAGCCGTGTGACTTTGAATCTCCCTATAAACCAACGTATAATCGCCGTAGCCATTGATTGGCCTTGTGCTTGGAAGTCTGCAGCCCAAGTCTGAATTAAAGAAAACTTGCAGGGGTTTTCCGCCGATATTTGCCCAACATGGCCGACTCTCAAACATCGCAACTTGCCCAATCCATACCTCAGAACGGATCACAAGAGCATCCCCCTCCGTCCGAATCTGAAGATAACATCAAAACCGAGCCTGATCTTGATGCTTCCATCGAAAAAGACGTCGAGATGAACACCGACAGCCAGACCGGAGCGAACGCGAACGCCAGCGCGCCTGGCCAAGATCCCATGGCCCCCGCGCCAGAACCCTCCAAGAAGGAAACAAGCTTGCGCGAGTTCCTCGGCAAGATGGACGACTATGCACCAATTGTAAGTCATTTCTAAAACGAGACTGCAGTCTCTCTGAGCTTCCCCTGATCGCCTGGTCACACGATGGACCACGACATCCCCGCCACCATCGATCTACCCCAAGATTTAGACACATATGAAAGCACGCTCCACGACACGAAACATGAGATCCAGAAAACCAAGAAAAAGAAAAAGCAAGAAAACTGACCCTCGATCTCCAGATTCCCGACGCTGTCACCGCCCACTACCTCACCCTCGCCGGTCTCCCACCACCAGGCACAGGGCCCGGCCAAACCCCACCTCACCTGGCGCGACTCCTGGCGCTCGCTGCGCAAAAGTTCGTCTCCGACATCGCAGCGGACTCGTACCAGTTCGCCCGCATCCGCGCCTCAAATAGCTCCTCCGCAAACAACCCCATCGGCAGTCTAGCAGCTGCAGCTGGTCTCGGTGCTCCGGCGGGCGCAGGCGGTGCCCCAGCTCCTGGCGGTGATGGCGGCAAGAGCAACAAAGCTGGAACTCATCTGGGCATCCAGCGGCCTGGATTTGGAGGTGGTGGTTCTGGTGGCTCTGGTCAGGGACGCACGGTATTAACCATGGAGGACCTGGGAATGGCAGTTTCAGAATATGGAGTCAGCGTGAAGCGAGGCGAGTTCTACAGGTAGTACAGTGATGGAAAATGGTCTTTTGGGGGTGTTCTCATTTATGCCCGGTTTTTATTTGCACCTTTCCCCATCATTTGTTTTGCGTTTTTCGGGCTCATGGCGTTTAGGTGTGCGCATGGTCTTGGGTGACCTGGAATCATGACTGCATTGCTAGTCTGGGCTGGTGGCTGGGCGGATCCAATGGATGGCGTTCTCTTTATTTTTCTAACTGATCTTTTTTAGTTACTAGAATCTGTGTATGCAATGCTACAGAAATTAGTCATGCAATGATATGAACATTTTCCGTGTGTTGCTGGCTTGGGAAAGTGCGTCAAAATCTGTAAGAGCACAGCATATTGAACTAGTGGTCAACAGGGCATTGACATATTTGCCTTTCAATGCAGGTTCTATATTTGGGTATTGTATACAAGTCGCATTGCACTTTGCATTTTATAGTTTAAATGTAGAAAAGAGAAGAATGTATATCGAACTCCGGCCCAAAAGCAGCTAACGTCACATAGAATCCAACGATATATCTGTACATAGTGTGGCAAAATAAAGAGATACAATGCAGCCCCCCTAGCGCAAAGAGGTAGCTGCACCAAGTGATCATGCGAATCGTCTATTTGTTCTTAGACTGCTTGTATGTGAAGCGTTTGCGGGTCCTATTGGAATGTTAGTGACTAACCACATCACCCAGAACCTGAACCTGCTCATGATGCTCATGTTGAACAGGCGTAGAAAGATGTATACATACGCAACATATTCCCCAAGCTTCCGTCCGACCATCTCCTCTGTCACCTGGATCTCGACGTATGTCTTGCCATTGTGCACAGCAAAGCGCAGACCGACAAAGTTCGGCAGAATGGTTGCTGCGCGTTTCGTGGTGCGGATCGGGGGAGTGTTGGGTGGAGGGGGGAGGGTGCGTGGGAGAGGAAGACTATTTTGACCATCAAGTCAGCTTCAGTTCTAGCGAGATATCTCCAGTATGGGAAGATGTCCTTGGTTCGAAGGTAAGGCAGGTTTGGGTTCTATTTAGCATGGATTGGATGTCACGTACGGGACGAGGTTTGGGCCTTGTTGCAAGTGTTAGCGTGTGGTCTCTCAGGAATCTATCAGGGAACAGAGATCTTCCAGATCTGGAAAGACTCACCTTTCCAGACGGACCGGCCGAAAAGGGCGCGCGTGGGGAACATTTTGGGCTTGAAGATTTCCGCAGCTGCGATTCCGCGATGTTGAAGATCGATGTCGAAGTCTCGGCGGGATTATGTCAGCAATTTTATATCCGAGGTCGCGGCCCTGCTCAAATACTAAAAGAATGAATGCAATAAATTGGCTGAGTGATAAATGATATGTGATCTAGATATGTAGATAATTGAAACGGAACAAAACAAAGCCAAAACCGCAAGGTAGTAGCGCACCCAACAGCCGCCAGCAACTGCGGGCACATGCGATTCTATACTCCATTTCACTCTGCCAGTTCCTCAAAGACCTTGACGAGGCTGCGCACACCCTTGAGAAGATTCTCATCCGGGCCCTGCCCAGGTGTCCAACTGGCATGTGCAAAATCAATCAGGCGGAGGGCGTGAACTTTAGGAGTTTCGTCCTCGTCATCATCCTCGTCGGGCATTTGCATGGTTTCGGGATCAATGCTGATATTGATAGCTTGTTGAGGCATCCCTTCACCAAGCTGTACATTGACCAGCTCCAAGGCTTCTTCGGGAAGTTCAAACTCTTCGTCATCTTCATCCTCTTCTTCTTCTTCCCGGGGTGCTGGAGCTTTCTGTTCTTCTGCAATTGCGTGCTCCATCGCTTCTACATCCCCCTCGTAGACCACCAGCACACTGGCAGAGTACATCCGGCTCTCCTCAGATTCCAGAACCCGTTGTAAATTTTTCAATTCTTCCGTCAAGCGCTGGGCAACCATCTTTGATCGGTCTATCTTGCCCATCTTTGCGCCAGCAAGGAAAGTTTCAAAACCTTGCTTGACATTATTCTCATTGAAAGAGCGACCGTACCACTTGTCATACCGCCGATAGCCATCCTTCTCGATGACTTCGCCCTCTCTGCCCTCTGAACCCTCGTATTTCGTAGCATACGGATCTGTCCGGTCACCCTCGTCAGTTTCCCCATCGTGACCAGTCCAGACTTTCATGCCCGCGATGCGATATCCAACGCTGGAGCTGGTAGTTTCCTTGGAGACGGCATCAAGCTTTTTCCGCTTCTCGGGCGGCGCATCGTCAGCCCATAAACGCGCGCCGAGCTTAACGTCCAGCACGTTCGGCCGCCGGAACCCACAGGCGATGTTTTCCAGCATGATCGACAAGCCAGTATCAATTTCCTTGCCCCCAGAAGGAACCCATGCTGCTTTCTCATTGGCCGGGGTAGCGCTGTCTTCGTACGCCGTGCTCGTGTGCGATGCGGGCTGGCTAGGACGGGAGGGATCGGTGTTTACATCGCCGGAGTTGGGGAGGGGAAGGACGCCAGATTCTCGGGCGGCAGCAATCGCCAGCGGCTGCTGCTGCTCGGAAGATGAGAGGGATCCGATGTAGAGGGGCATAAACTCCCGGAGGGCCGGGTGGAGCGCGCTGGATTCGTAGAATTCTACCTCCTGCCGCGTGCATGGTTTTGCGATCAGGGCGCCAGAAGGTGTACATCGAACGCCATCACTAGATATGGATACATTGTTAGCATGGCCATAGATCTCATATCGCCTTGAAATCTGCCAGGGTTGGTTCCTTTTGCGGACCTGTTTGGGCTGATTCGTGCGGAACGTCGCGCCAGGAATAGAGTGGGGATGTGAAACTTACTGTCCAGCAGCAGCATGGTCAAAAGGGATCAGGTCCTCGCTACCTAGCTGTGGTGCCTTTCGACTTTCTGGTTTCGGGGACATTTTGATACAATCGCTTTATGACTTGAGGGGGTCTGTATTCCGGGCGACCCAAAGAAATTGAGTAACCCTGAGGCGTGGAGGTCCACGGGTAGTTTTAAACCGACATATAGAATAAAGGTGAGGCGAATGAATCAAATATATGGACAAGAAGTGAGATTTGTGTTGAAATAGCGTGATATGATCAGCCGAAACGCGAAACGCGGGATAAGCGATGTCATTCGGCCCTAACTCCGATCTATACGATTAACATGGTCTATACATCTAAGTTAACCATTCAACACCGTGATTTTGAATTCTTTCACTTGATCTATTTTTCCCTTTTAATATAGTAAATTGTGAGTGATCTTATAAAGTAGAAGAGAGATAAATTGCTGTTTGACTGTTTGCTCTCTATAGATGAGGTTAATCCCGACCATCACGACTAAGCAATCATCGAACCCGTGGACCTTCTAGGTTGACTTGCTATTAAGTCTCGTCTCTCTGCTTTGACCTTTTCTCTTCTCTCTTCCAACGTTTACCCTTTCTCGCGGAAACATCATCCTTTAAAACCTCATTACGTTCGTCGTTCATCGTTCATCATGGATGAAAGTTCTGAGCCTGCCCGTGAAGACAATTTGTCTACAGCCGTTCAGCCACTGACTTCTAGTGGCTCTGAGGAGCTTCACAAGCCTACTGAAGCCATGACTGGCGACAGTGCCACTGCTAACCTTGGGCCCACCATCCATGACCAAGAGCATGCCGAAGCTACCAAGGAACGTTCCTGCACTTCTTATCCGGAGTCGAGTTCCAAACCGCATCGATCGTCTGCTAAGCATGCCGGTGTTCATTTTGTCGACCAAATCACTCTTGCGGAGCCTGAGCTCAAGAAGTCAGAGGTTGGACCCAAGACTGAGGATAATGTGAGTGCCCCAATTCTATCCAACCAGGTCCTAGTCCCTTTGGTATTGCAAAAGATATGCTGACAGTACTCGAAAGGTCGAGGAGCCTTTTGCCAGTTCGGACCAGGAGCCAAACAGGCATTTTTCCCAAGTTCAAGCTGGTGCTGACCTTGGAGGCGCTTCGCCAAGAGCAATTGATTTCGCCGTCGTTACAGAAGAACCAGGGAGCAATGCAGAGACATCCAATTTGAACAACGGCGCAAACTCGGAGAACGCGCCCAAGGTTGGATTCAAGCACGATCCCGATGAGGAAAAGGTGCTCGCAAACGTGGAACTTGACGATGGTTCTTCGTCGAAGTCGAAGAAGAAGAAAAAGAATAGGCGACGTCCCAAGAGTCAGAGAGGAGAGGTAAGACGGTGTTACTAATGTTTACCTGCTTAGAGCTTGTCTAACAGTTTTTATAGAACGCACCCTCTGGGTTTGAACCCTTCTATGCCGATGCACCAATGACTCCAAAGGAGTTTGAGGAGAACAAGTCTATCTATGATCCGTATGTACATTCACGTCTCCCTAACTGAGACAGTATCTAACTTTTCATGACAGTGCTTTGCCCATTCTTGAGTAAGATCGTCAATCAATTATTATTGCATAGCAACTACTAATTTGACCCACCTAGTCGGATTGACGAGGGCATCAAGCGCTTCTTGTACAAGCGACGCCTTGAGCCCTACAGACGCAAAGTTTTTCTCAAGTACTTACAGTACGGCGGTGTCAGCGTGGGCCCCAATCATTCCCAGGGAGTAACTCCTTCGGAATTGAAGGAGATGACCAAAGAAGAGGCAATGCAAGCTCGCTGCACCACGGCGACCTTTCCCAAGAGGGGAAAACCATATCCCATCTCTTTCAACGATGTCGCGACTGGCTACCTGTGAGTGTTGAAATATATGAACACTTATTCAAATAGTCACAAATGCTAACTTAGTTGATAGGACTGGGTTCTACATGGGCTACTACAATCCTGATACTGAGGAGGAGATCAAAGTATGCACTGATACGATGAAGAATTTCTTCTCTTACCTCCTCTACCACAATGTTTGCCCCGAGCAGAAGGAGGATCTTGAGGAAGCTCGAAGGACCTGCGATCGGGCTGCCAAAGAGTTGTGGATGAACCAGCAGCTTGTCCATCATGGCGGCCCCGGAGACTTCAACCGCGGCTGCTCCGTGCTGTTTGGCGGCTACTACTTCGAGGATGTGGATGACCCCGAGGCTTGGACAAATGTTCGATATTTTGATGGAAAGGTCTTTACCACTGAAATGGCTCGCAAAGTCGTTAAATATGGAATTGCGATTGCCGGAAATGATCGAACTGCTCAGAAATTCAAGATTCTCGCTGACCTGGACATGATCGAAGCCAAGCAGGTCCCAGACATCGATGGCTTTGAGGTCATCTCTGTGGAGGAACCTAGCGAGGAAACCATCGGACTCTACAGGGAGCTGGGTCCCGATCTTGGCCCAGTGGGCAAGATTCGAGCCAAGGAATTTCGTGATCCCGCCAGAGGTCCCTTTGACCTCACTCCCTGGGAAAAGGTAGACTGGGATGCTGGTTTTGCCCCGACCTACGAGTTCGAATTTCTCGTCGAACCTCATCTGTTCCCCCATATCTTGCCCGGCATGAAGATTATCTCGGACGTCTATGAGACCAACTTCGGACAGTACTACTTCGATGAAATTCTGTCAGTCCTGCCAAGTTTCTACAAGTTCATGTACAATGACTGGATGATGGACTATGTGGAGCCCGCACCTATTAACTTCATCCCTGACGAGGAGGAGGTCGCGCGCCGCCGCGCAAAAGAGTCTATTATGCGTCCTCCTGAGCCCACCCCGGCCGAGTGGGCTCTGCACATGGTGATGCACGAGTTGACTTATGTGGTCAGGCCGGGCCAGGATCCCATGGACGCCGTCTGGCAGATGATTCATAGCCTTGAGAACTTCGGCTGGGACCTGGAGGAAGTCAAAGACTTGCTGGGCTTGGTGGATCCGAATCCGCGGAAGGGCAAGGAAAGGTCGACTGAGGGAGAGCAGCCCCGCGTGCGCCTTAGCAATGAGCCCCGCAACATCCCCTTGTTTGAGACCCCTAAGCAGGCCCTTGATCGGACTATCAATTATTTCCAGAATCCGGAAAGGATCAAGCCCGTTATCGCGCCGGAGGTCATCGCGAAGATTCTCAAGGAGAAAAAGGAGAAGATAGAGAAAGAACAATCCGAGAAAGGAGCGCAGGCTTCGGACGGGCAGAATATCGCAAAGAGCCAGGGAGCAGAGGGTGAGCGCAAGCCCGGTATCTCGCCGGAGGGCATGGCATACTTCGTCAAGAAGATGAAGAAGCAGATAGAAAAGGAACAATCCGAGAAAGGAGCCCAGGGACCTATCACGCCGGACGTCATTGAGAATTTCGTCAAGAAGACAATGGAGCAGATAGAAAAGGGACTGTCCAAGAAAGCAGCCCAGACTTCGGATGGGCAGGAAATTGCGAAGAATCAGGGACCTGAGGGACAGCCCAAGCGAGAACCAATGGACAACAAATCAACCCAGACTCCGGGTGAGCAGAAGATTACGAAGAACCAGGAATCCGAGGGACAGCCCAAGCGAGGACCAACGGACGACAAAGCAACCCAGACTTCGGGTAAGTAGAAGATTGCGAAGAACTAGGCACCCGAGGGACAGCCAAGCTGGGGACCTACAGAGACAAGCAGCAGGCTATTGAGGAAACGAAAAATCAAGGGGAGAATCAGTGAAAGGTCGGTGGTTGCAGCTATCGGTTTACTGCGTGATCAGTCTGCTGCAAATATGCTGTGATGTTCGCCAGATATGTTCTTAAATGCAGAACCAGAATGGAATTCATATGGATATCTAAGCAATATTCAAATCCTTGTATCTAGTCTTATATTATCAATAGATCATAATCTGTTTGTATTGCCTTAAAAAGGCCAGGTCCTGCTTCAAGGCCTCAGCAGCGGCTTTCCCATGGTCTTACGTCCTTCCAGATCCTGTTAAGAGCGTTAGAATATACAATGACTACAATTTCACGCAAGCACGACAGGGCCACATACCTTGTGCACCTGGGCAATGTCCTCCAATGGATAGATTTTGTGGATCTTAGTCTTGAGCTGACCCGACTTCAGCAGGTTGAACAGCTCATTGGTGTAATATTCGAACTCTTCGCGAGTCTGAATGTATCCGAAGAGCGACGGGCGAGCAACCTTGACACACTTGGGGGTAAGTTTCCTATTGAAATATCATGAGAATCACTAGCCAAGTCCAATATAGAGAGGGAAAGGCCATACGCAAGAGGAAACGGGGGCACAGGCCCGCTCGCATTGCCAAACGAGACGATAGTACCCTTACGCTTGACAGCCTCCAAGCTTCCCTCCCAGGTATCTTTGCCGACAGAATCGTAGACCACATCGACACCGCTACCACTAGTAGCTTCCTTGACCTTTTTAACCCAGTCCTTACCCTCTTCGCTGCGGTAGTCGATCACCACATCAGCACCGAGGCTCTTCACCAGCGCACACTTCTCTGCGCCACCAGCGGTACCAATAACCTTGGCACCAATAGACTTCAAAATCTGTGTCATAAGGAAGCCAGCACCACCAGCAGCAGCATGGAGAAGAACCCAATCGTCCTTCTGCACGGGATAAGTCTCCTTCGCAAAAGCAAGCACCGTCAAGCCGCTCAGGAACGACGCCATGATATCCTCATCACTGATGCCTTCGGGAATCTTCGCAGTCTGGGCAATCGGTACTGCAGTGTACTCCGCATACCCACCAGTAGACAACCACGCAACCCGATCACCGACCTGGAAACCAGGAGTGTTGGGACCAACAGCAGCTACAATACCAGCGCCTTCGCGGCCCAAGACCTCGGGTTTAGGCGAGGGGTACAGGCCCGTTCGGAAGTAGGTGTCGATGTAGTTTACGCCAGAGATGTTGTTGCGCACTAGCAGCTCTCCTGCTTGTGGGGTAGGAACTGGGTATGAGGTCTTGACCTGCAGCACTTCGGGGCCGCCGGTCTGCTCGACCACAACGGCCTTCATAGTTGCTGGGACGGACATGCTGCGGATTGGAATGAATTGATTCACGAGTGGAGGGGCAATGTGATTGCGAAGCACTGCGAGTCGAGAGCTACTGCGTAGAAGAGAGCGAGACATGGTAAATAAGTAGGTGGAGGAAGTAAGAGAGATATTAAGGCCATCAGCTTTGTATTTGTCATCGGATCCCCGCACGCAATCTCCAGCCCTGGAGAAGTCCGGAATTGTTGCGCTCCCTTTCCTTCTCTTATCTCCTAGAACTTAACAAATTACCTAGATACACAGGTATAATACTGGTATTTATGCGAAGTATATCGTATTTGGCTTGATAATGCGCTTTGTACAGATTCCCATCTTCACAAGGATATGACGCCATTTCCGTCTGGTCGGAAAAAGGGTATACTTGTTATATATGCAACACAGCACTACAACACATGCTTTTCAGGTGCAACAAACGATATCCAACATATCAAATGCCGTCCTTGTCTGACACGAGACCCATGTTGCTCACCTAGAGCCTCTGGTCAGATCTGCCGTATTAGCGCTTCGGTTCTCCTTGCAAAATCGAGATGCAAGCCACCCGGAGCCCCATGAGGGGCCAATCCCACGATCCACGACCCGGCATGTCAGTTGGCCCTGGCTCTGCATGAGGACGATATAGCGCCGACTTTGTATCATCTGCCGCTGACTGCATTATGGAAACCTGGAAGGGGAATAGATCTCCCCCGCTCCATACATATGAGACACTACGCAGGCCATTAGCCTCTGATGGGTCATTTGAGGTTTCCTAAACACCAGCCCCTGAGCAACTTGACGATTTTCATTTGTTGCCCAATGATCCGATCTGATTCTAAATAAATCGACTGAAACGCAACGGCAGTACCCGGAGGTTCCACTTCGTGCCCAATAGTCAACAGGCTGCCATAGCCACACCCCTTTGTGATGTTGGTGACTCGGCCAATTGTTTCACGGTTTCCACCTGCCATCCTTGCCTCGTGATTTCTCAGCCTGAAGCTATTCTTGTTTCCTTTTTCTTCTTGTTTTGTTTTGTTTTTTTTTTTTTTTTTAACTCTTGCCCAATCACTAAGATGGCCTATCAGAGGCCCATTTC